CTTTTAATGGAATTAATTTCCTCTAAGAATACTTTTTACATTTTCAAGCTAGAAGAACATTTATTTCTGAACGGATGGAATTTTTTTTTCAAAATAATACTTGTCTAAGAATTCAACTGGAGTAAATATGGTGTACCTTCCCACCCATACATTTTGATATCTTTCCACAGTTTCCCTTTTTCCTTCTTGCCTCAGCGTAAGCCCTGTTTAAAGACAAGAGATCCACCAATGGCTCCCTCCTTTCAAACTTGAAACTGACTTACTCATGTGAAGCAACATTTTCAGCATCTTCAACTTCAAACTTGGAAAGTCGTTCTAACATACTTTAGCCACCAAAAAAAAAAAAAAAGCAAAAATATATCATTAGATATTTGCTACACAAAATAGTGATGGAAAATATATTTGAATAGCAAGAATCCCATGAATCTAAAGGATATAGTAAACATGACTTAGCTCACTGGAAGATCTAATATTTAAGAAAGAAAATTACAATCATTAACCAGAAACTCTTTCCTCATGGATACTCCCAACACTGAATTTTCCATATTTTTGTCTTCTTTTCTATCTCTCTTTCTATATATATGTATATAAAGATATATAAAAGAACATGTCTACAGATGTATAATATATAAATAACGTGTATAGACATATCTCAAAGACACTGTGGGTTTCATTCCAGACCACTGCAATAAAGCAAAAACTGCATTAAGCAACTCACACAAATGTTTTGGTTTCCCTGTGCATGTGAAAGTTATGTTTACCCTACACTATAGCCTGTTAAGTTTGCAATGGCATTATGTTCAAAAACTTATGTACATACCTTAATTCAAAACTACGTTATTGGTTAAAAAATGCTAATGATAACCTGAGCCTGTAGCAAGTCATAGTCTTTTTGCTGGTGGAGGGTGTTGCCTCCATGTTGATGGCTGCTGATTGATCAGAGTGGTGGCTGCCAATGGTCGGGGTGGTTGAGGCAATTTCTTAAGATAGGACAACAATGAAGTTTGCTGTAGCAAATGACTCTTCCTTTCACAAGTGAGAATTAAGTGGTGAAGCCATCAGGTCCTGGACTTTGTTGAAAGCCTTTTTATTACTGATTCAATCTCATTACTTGCTTATGGTCTGTTCAGGTTTTCTATTTCTTCTTGGTTTAGTCTCGGTAGGTTGTATGCGTCAAGGATTTTGTCCACTTCCTCTAGGTTTTCAAATTTATTGTAGAGTTGTTCATAAGTCTCTAATAATTCTTTTTATTTCTGTCATATCTGTTATGTTGTCTCTTTTTTTGTTTCTGAATTTACTTGTGTCTTCTCTTTTTCTTAGTCTAGCTAACAGTTTGTTGATATTTTTAAACCTGCTTTTTGTTAACCTTTTGTAATTTTTGCCTCAAATTTGTTTATTTCTGTTTGTTCTTCATTATTTATTTCCCTTTAATAATTTGGGGTTTGGTTTGTTCTTACTATTCTAGTTTCTTGAGGTAGAATTGTTTAGTACCTTATTTGAAAGTTTTCTAGTTTTTTTTGATCCAGGCATTTATTGCTAAAAACATACTGCTTAATAACTGCTTTTGCTGTGTCCCCTATGTTTTGGTATGTTGTGTTTCTAGTTACATTTGTTTCAAGGAATTTTTAAATTTCATTCTTAATTTCTTTCTTCACTCATTGTAACTCAAAGGCATGTTGTTTAATTTCCATATGACTGTATAGTTTTGAATGTTCCTCTTGTTATGAATGTCTAGTTTTATTCCATTGTGGTAAGATAAGATACCTGAAATAATTTCAATTTTTAAAAATTTGTTGAGACTTGTTTTGTAGCCTAACATACGGTCTATCTTGGATAATGTTTCATGTGCTGATGAAAAGAATGTGTATTCTTCAGCTGTTAGGTGGATGTTCTGTAAATGTTTGTTATGTCCATTTGGTCTATGGTGGAGTTTAAGTCTATGTTTCTTTGTTGATTTTCTGTCAAGATGATTTGTCCAATGCTGAGCGTGAGATACTGAAGTGCCCAACTCTTACTGTAACTGGGTCTATCTCCCTCTTTAGATCTAGATATTCACTTTATATGTCTAGGTGCTCTGGTGTTTGAGTGCATACATATTTATAATTATACACATATTATAATTAAGTTATATTTCTTGCTGAATGGAACCCTTTATTATTACATAATAATTTTGTTTGTCACTTTTTATGGTTTTTAACTTGAAGTCTGTTTTGTCTGATACAAGTATAGCTATTTCTGCTCACTTTTGGCTTCCATTTGCATGGAATATCTTTTTCCTTCCCTTCATTTTCAGTCTATGTGTTTCTTTACAGGTAAGGTGAGTTTATTTTAGATAAAATATAGTTGGGTCTTATTTTTTAATCCACTCAGCAAGTCTATATCCTTCATGGTGTATTTAATCTATTGACATTCAAAGTTATTATTGGTAGGTGAGGAGTTACTTCCAACATTTCATTGTTTTCTGGTTGTTTTGTATATGTTTTGTTCCTTTCTTCCTGTTTACTTTTGAAGTTGGGTAGTTTTCTGTAGTGATAAGGTTTCATTCCTTTCTTTCTCCTTTATGTATTGACTCTAACAGTGACTTAAAGTTTTGCATGTTTTTATGATAGTGGTTATCATCTTTTTACTTCCAGATGTAAGACTCCCTTGGGCATTTCTTGTAAGGCTGGTCTAGTAGTGATGAATTATCTTTGTTTTTGTTTATCTATGACAGATTTTATATCTTCTTCATTTGTAAAGGATAGCTGTGCTGAGTATAGTATTCTTGGCTGAAAGATTTTTTTTCTTTCAGAACTTCAAATATATCATCCCATTCTCTTCTAGCCTAAGGTTTCTGCTGAGAAATCAGCTGTTAGTCTAATGGGGATTCCATTATAAGTGTCTTACTTCTCTCTGCTATTTTAAAAAATCTTTGATTTTTCACAATTTGATTATAATGTCTGGGTTGAATGTACTTGGGGTTCTTTGATCTTCCTGAAACTAGATGTCTAGTTCTCTTTCAAGAGTTAGGAATTTTTATGCTCTTATTTTATTAAATATGTTTTCCTCATATTTTCTCTTCACTTTTCCTTCTGGAATGCCCATAATATGAATATTTGATCAAAGTAATGGTGTCCCATAAATCCTGTAGGCTTTTTCATTCTTTTTTATTCTTTTTTGCCTGCCTGTGTTATTTCAAAGGACTTGTCTTCAAGTTCAGAAATCATTTATTCTGCTTGATCTTGTCTATAAAGCCATTGATTGTATTTTTTCATTTCATCCCTTGAACTGTTTAGCTCTTAGGGCTTCTGTTGGTTCTTTTTATGATATCTGTATCTTTACTGAATTTCTCTTTCAAATCCTGTTTTCATTGACTGGTCTATGTGTATTACCTTATATCTCACTGAGTCTCCTTAAGATTATTCTTTTTTCTGTCATTTCATATATTTATGATTGGGGTCTATTACTGGATAATGATTATTTCCCTTTGTAGGTGACATGTTTGCTTGAATTTCATGGTTGGTGTGTTTCTATGTTGATTTCTATGCATCTGGTGTAAAAGTCACCTTTTCCAATTTTATGAAGTAGCTTTACTTGTATGAATTTATTTGTATGAATGGGTCTTGGATGTCAGTTCATTGGGGTATATTGGCCCTGGTTCTACATGGATGCAGTAAGTGTAGTCTCCATGTAGTTAATTCAGCTGTGACCCACACTAGTAACATTTGCAAGTTACTCAGTGGCCTAGGCTAAGGAAATTTGTGGTGATGTGGTGCAGCTTTGCCAAGGGTGGGCTCACTGGGCTGTTTCTCAGGATAGGGGTGTGTGCAGGCATACAGTGGATCAGAAAACTTGGAGTATGGCTTTATGTGGCTGGCCATGGTGCTGTCACTCTAGCCAGGAACATGGGGATGCAGTTGCTCAACCAAGACATGCCAGCCAGATGTGCCTTGCAGGACAGTTTCTCAGGCCCAGGATGCAGGCACACAGCTGTTTGCCTGGCCTGGAAGCATGCACTCCTGGAGTGGCCTGAAGGGCTGTTTCTCATATCTGGTATGTGGGTACACAGCTGCTCATCTGGCCTGGGGCCAGTCTGCTGGGGGAAACTCATAGGCCAAATATATAGCTGCATGGCTGCTAAGCTGGACTGAAGGTATCTTTGCCAGGACTGCCCAAAAGGGGGTGTTTCTCTGGCCTGGGATACAGTCAAATGACTTCTCAACTGTCCTGGATGTGTATCTGCTGGGGGTAGTCCATAGGGCTATTCTAGCTCAGGATGTGGGCACACTGCTGCTCAGGTGGCCTGGGTGGTGCCTGCCAGGGGAAGCCCAGGGGAATGCTGCTATGACCCACGATGTTCCTCAACCTGGGACATAGGTATGTGGCTGCTTAGCTGGCCTGAGGGTATGCTGGCCAGAGTAAGCTCCCAGGGTTGTTTCTTGGCCCTGAGACTCGGGCATACACAGTTGCTTGTCTCTCACGTCTGAGACACAGGTGCAAGGCCCACTCAGTGGTGTGCCTGCTGGGGGCAGCCTGTGGGACTGTTTTTCAGGCCCTTAGTAAAGGCAGAGGGCTCCTGGGCAGGCCAGGAGCATGTCTGTGGTGGATGGGGTTTGCAGGGCTGTTTCTCAGGTCCTGAGCATGGGCTCGTAGTCACTCTGTTGACCTGGGGGTGTATCAGCTGCTCAGAGGCTTAGGGGCCTCTCCCACTTGGGAGAGGGCAGGTAGTGGTTTGGCTGGCTTAAGAGTGAGTTTACCTTGGATGGGACTGCAGATTAATCCTCTGTCTGGAAGTGTGGTGGTGGGGCTTGATTTCCCTGCTCTGCAGTACTTGAGTTACAGCCAATCCTGGGACCAACCTCCACACAGCTGGGATTGTGGCTTTAACCCACCCATGTGGGCTTGGTGTACTGAAGGTAAAGCTCCAGTGCTGGAGAGGCACAGTGGCTACTGGCCCCCAGAGGAGGGCACACTCAAGAGATGACTCTGGTCTCAAGATGGTGCTGTGTTGCTGCAGCTTAGGTCTCTGGGGGTGGGAAGTCTTCACCTTGTACTCCTAGTCCAGGACATGCAGCTGTGATAATTCTTGGCAGTACTCCAAATTGGCCTCAGGGCTTGCAAAGACTGTGAGATTCTCCTGTTGTAAAGACTTTGTGTTTGTGATGGCAGTGGGGCTGGTGGGGATCTTCTGCTTACCTTCACCCTGCAATGAGAAGTCCCTCCTCTCTCTGGGCCAATTCAATCCAGATGGGGGAGAAGGGGCTGCAGAGGCTGAGTGTTTCCGTGCTGTGGGGACTTCCAGTCACCACAGGTGTGTCTCCACTCCTTTGCTGCACTCTAGGACTATCCCTTTGATACTCTAATCAAATCTTAGATGTGTATTTGTTGCCTCGGTTCTTTCTTGTAGGGGAGACAAGCACCAGGCATCTCTAGTCACCCGTCTTGCTTGATTTACCGTAATTCGTAAGGGCCCTAGGATTTTCAGAATAGTCAATGATTGTTGGCTTCAACTTAAAGCCACCAGCTTCATTAGCCACTAACAAGAGAACTGGCCTGTGCTTTGAAGCTTTGAAACCATGCGTTGACTTCTCCTCTCTAAATACGAAAGTCCTAGATGGCATCTTCTTCCAATAAAAGGCTATCTTGTCTACATTGAAAATCTGTTGGTTAGTGTGGCCACCTTCATCAATTATCTCAGCTAGATCTTCTGGATAACTTGCTGCTGCTTCTGCATTGGCACTTGCTGTTTACCTTGTACTTTTATGTTAAGGAGATGGTTTACTTCCTTAAACCTCATGAACCAACCTTTTAGCTTCAAGCTTTTCTTCTGCAGCTTCCTTACCTCTCCCAGCCTTCAATGAATCAAAGAGAGTGAGGGCCTTGTCCTGGATTAGGCTTTGGCTTAAGGGAATGCTGTGGCTGGTTTGATATTTTCTCCAGACCACTAAAACATTCTCCACATTAGCTATCAGACTGTTTTGCTTTCTCATCATTTGTATGTTCACTGGAGTAGCAGTCTTAATTTTCTTCAAGAAGTTTTTTGGCTTTCTCATTTTGTTTTTTGTTTTACATTCACAACTTGGCTGAACTGGTGCAAGTCTAGCCTTCCTCACAATCATTTCTAGCTTTTGGTTTAAAGTGAGAGACATGTGACTCTTCCTTTCACTAGGACACTTAGAGACCATTGTAGGCTTATTAAATGGCCTACTTTCAATATTGTTGTGTCTCAGGGAATAGGGAGGCCCACGGAGAAGGAGAGAGATGGGGGAATGGCTAGTCAGTGGAGCAGTCAGAACCAACATGTCATTAATTAGGCTGGTCATCTTAATATGGCCATGGTTCATGTTGCCCCAAAACAATTACAATAGTAACATCAAAGATCACTGATCACAGTTCACCATAACAGATATGATAATAAAAAGTTTGGAATATTGCAAGAATTATTAAAATGTGACAGAGACACACAGCGAGAACATGCTGTTGGAAAAATAAAACCAGGAGACTTGCTCAGTGCAGGGTTGCCACAAACCTTCAGTTTATAAAAAAGTAATATCTGAGGGGCAATAAAGCACAATAAAACAAGATATATCTGCATACACACACACATATGTATATATAAACTATATATGTATACATATACATATATAGTCTAAAGGATATATACATATATGTTTTCATATATACACACATGCTTATATACATAAAAGGATATATATATGACTACTGATGTTATTAATTTGGGTCAGTGCTAAAGAAGATATGTATACACACATTTAAATATGCAAATATATAGACATGTATAGAGATGTGTATCTACATACACACAAATACATATTTATATACCTATATATACTACGTATATAGCTAAAAGAGATATCTGTGTATATATATACAAACACACATATATACATGTGTCTTGTGTGTTGTGTGTGTGTGTGTGTGTAGATAGATCCTTTAGAAGTGACCCAAATTAATAACCTCAGTAGTTTTTAATGACACCACCACTGAAAGGGAGTTATATCAAAGATACATCAAAGTAGTGAAAGACTACTGATGTCATTTTATCCGGGCCAGTGCTAAGGATTAAAAATGTACAGGTCAAGTGACTTCAGAGACACACTTTTCTGGTTGAAGTTATATACTATTGCTCTACATTTATAAACTGGTTGAATTCTCAAAACGTATACGTGAGTGATTTGGAGTCTACTATTAATATATCATGTTTTCCTAGAAGAAAACCTTACAATATGTAAAGGTGCTCTTGGGCCTTAACAAACAGTCTAATGAATCACAGTTTAAGTGCAGTTCTGTATTACTTCATTTGTGAGTGAATTTTACCAATCTCAATACATCCCTCTCTTCTTTCTCTCCATATTTTGAAATTTCACCCATCATTGATGACTCTACCACACATTACTCTTTTTAATTCAATGTAGTAGCTAAAGGATTAAAAATGCACATAGCAAGACTCCACATGTTATCCTAGACTTAATTTTCTGATACAAATTAGCAATAATTATTCTACAATCTATAATCTAGTTACCCTGAAAAATTGACATTAATCAGTTATTTATTTGAAACCTGGTATTTAATTTTTCTCTGGAAATGAAGTTTTAGATGTTTGTAATGAAATTTTTTGGCCTGTGAAAAAAACTTAATGAATCAAGTTTATACACATTTCTTTACTCCTAAACATAATCCCCAAGTTACTGTTTCTGGCAAAATTTACATAAATTCAACTTCAGTTTGTAAATACCCACCTTGCTTGCCCTTGTAATTTTCTGCCTTCTCACGTTCAAATACCACCAGTAACTCTTCACCAATCATGGATGGCTTTCCTGCCCCTCAGAGAGGGCTAAGTAACTACAGACCCAAGGCAGGGCCTCCATACAATCTGATGGTGGGTTTACCTTTGGGGCAGTAGCCTCATGTGGTAACAGACGGAGAGACCGGGGTCTATTAGCTTTGTTCTTTTCTGTTGAGAGCTCCTCGGCTCCCTGCCCACTGTTACCTCCTCCTTGCTCCAAACAGGACGGCTGCCTCTTTTGGCTCACTCTGGTAGAGTGTCATACAATACACACATTCTCATATTTTCCTAAGGTTTCAGGGTGCTGCTAAATAAGGGTGACCAATGGAACAGGAATAAGAAGCATTCCTCTTAAGACCTATTCCTCTTTTATCCAACTAGATCGAAGAAAGAAAGGGAACCGCAGATACTACAGTAATGAGACTTTAGAAGACAGTGTCTAACACATTCTGAATTGTCATGGATGCTCCGATGAACTTCCCAAATCTGATCTCTCTTTTCTACACGTATGCTTTTGTGTGTGTCTACATGTGTATTTACACATATATGTTTACATCTAGCTTTTTATTTACTCAAACCTCAAATTTTGTTGAAAGTCCCTTCATGTGTTACTGTTGTCATGTCACTGAAGGCAGTGCTGATGGAGCAAAACGGTACATAGGCACAGAGTGAATTTCTCTTTTTTGCACTATTAGCAAATACATTTTTTGTACCAAAAGTAGATTTTCCATAAATATGAAATACGTACATATATAAGTGAGAGTATGCAAATCCTACCACATAAGCCCAGTAAGTGAAGTCCAACAATTAACAAAGACTCATTTATCATGGTCAATTAATCAGAGATTAATTAAACTATATATAAATTAAACCTATGTACATATTAGAAATACATTTTAGCCAGGCACAGTGGCTCATGACTGTAATCCCAGCACTTTGGGAGGTTAAGGCGGGCGGATCACGAGGTCAGGAGTTCAAGACCAGCCGGGCCAATATAGTGAAACCCTGCCCCTACGAAAAATACAAAAACTTAGTCGGGCATGGTGGCACGTGACTGCAGTCCCAGCTACTCAGGAGGCTGAGGCAGGAGGATCGCTTGAACCTGGGAAGTGGAGGCTGCAATGAACTGAGATCGTGACACTGTGCTCCAGCTTGGGCAGCAGTGAGACTTCGTCTCAAAAAATAATAATAATAATAGAAACGCATTTTAATTTGCCCGTGCCTCCAACGTCCTATAAAATAAGGACGTCTAATAAATCTTTTAAAGATTTATTTATTGGCTTAAAAATCAATACTACATACAAAACTCACATACTATTGCTTAATGAGCAACTACAGAATTCTGACCTAGATGTTTCCTTAATCAGCCACTAATTAAACACAATCCTTTTATTCCTTCTGTAAAATCTCATTCATTTTGCAAATTTTCTTGAGCATTACACTACCATTAACTTGAATCAGGTTTTCCATATTACTTACACCTATATGATTTATTTCTGGGAGAGGTTTTCACATGACTGGGAGAACTCTCCATCACCTCCTTCCTTTCACTGACTGTGCTAGTCTTTCCTGCCCATGAGACACAGTGAAGTACCCGCGCACCTAAGGAAAGCGGCATCCAACGAGGTGGTGGGTTTGGGTTGGGTCTGGCCACCAACCTCACATGTGGACAGAGCTCTCGAGGGTGTGGGACAAGTCCACATTCCATTAGCTCCATTCTTTTTTTCCCAGGGCTTCACTACTCCTTATTGGCCGCTATCTCCTCCACGTTGCAAATAGGATTCTCTCCTTTCTTGGCACACTATGGTAGGGTCTCAAACACAGGAAACCTGAATCCCTTAAAAAGTTGCCTACCAGAAAATGAGGGTGACAAATACACTAACAGGAAGAAGCAGTTCTCCTATGAACTGACTTCCTTATACAACTCCATCAAAAAAGGATGCAAAGTTACCTACAAATGCTACAATGAGAAGAACTGGAAACCCTGATAAAAACACTGTGTGGCCATGCAGGCTCCTGAGAGTAAATTCCACAAATGTCCGTCTGTCTCAGTGTTTTCTGTTTCCATTGGGTGCGTGGGTTTGTTTGTGTAAATGTGTTGACAGAAGTGTGTATGGATGAGATAGATGGATCTGTTTGTGTCTGTGCTTGTGTGTGTGTATAGCTCTAAGCACACTTACGCATACATGTGTCTTTATGGATTGATAACTCACCTTTTACTGACAGGTGACAACAGGCCTGCTCCTTTACATTCACGGCTGTGTGGGCTAGAGGATGATTAAAGAATATAGTCAGCTAGGAGACATGATTCTAAATTCACTTTTTTGGAAAAATTAGCTTTTATTACTCTAGACAGAAACCAATTAATTTCTGTCAGGAAATCTGAGTCCCATAAAAAAAAACTGCTTACTAGGAACTAAGGGTGACAAATACACTAACAGGAGGAAGCAACTCTCCTGTGACCTGCTCCTCTTTATACAACTCCACCAAAGAAGGATGCAAAGTTACTAACAAATGCTACAATGAGAAGAATTGGAAACTCTGCTAAAAAAAAAAAAAAAAAATCTATATGGCCATGCAGGCTCCTGAGAGTAAATTCCAAAAATGTCCGTCTGTTTCCTTTCTCTTTGTTCTAGGTTTCCATCATGTGCATGGATTAATTTGTGTACGCATGTTGAAGAGAAGTGTGGGTGGGTGGATGGATGGATGGATGGATGGATGGATGGATTTTTGCTCATGTGCCTGTGTGTGTGTTTAGTTCTGTGCACACTTATGCTGATGGGAGTCTCTATTTAACTATTTATTACTCACGTTTCAATCGTAAGTGTCTCCTTGGTTGCTCCTTTAAATTCATTTGTCTGTGTACTAGCAGATGATAAAAGAATACAGTCAGATAGGAGACATAATTCTGAACTTGTATTTTGGAAAAATTACCGATCATTACTCTAGACAGAAACCAATTAATTTCTGACTATTCATTTGTATAGCACTGTTGGAATATGGAATGTCTTTTTTCTTTATTACAAATGAGGATTTATATGACAACAACCAAAATCATAAGCTGGGGAAAATAGTAATGCTTCTCGGTTTAAGTACACCTCTTTATTATGACCTCAGTCCCAATGTGTGACAGACTTTGTGGTGGCAGCTATTTCAAACTCAACTCCTGTTTGCAGGTAGTCAGCCCTCTTATTCCATTCAATGTTCTGCTTCAAAGGCCCTCCAATACCTCCTTACCTTCACCCAGCATGGTGGTTTCTCCTGCCCCACAAAAAGGGTCAGGTAACTAGAGGACTGACACAGAAGCACAATCCAGTGGGACAGTGATTTGAGGTTTGGAGCTCCAGCCTCCGTGGTGGCAGAGTTCTGGAGGGTGGAGAACACCTCCAAGGCTCTTAGCTCTGTTGCTTCCTGCTGAGGGCTTCACCGTTCCCCGTGCACTCCTACCTCCTCCTCGCTCCAAACAGGATTCTCTCTTCCCTCGGCCCACTCTGCTATGTCTCACACACAGAAAATCAGAGTGTCCAAGGCATTTCACTGCTACTAACAAATGGTGAAAAGACAGTAACAGACAGAAGCCTCTCTCCATAGTCTGTTTCTTTTTCTCTAAACAACTGTAAAAATGTGGAAGTTATCTAAACATGATACAGTGAGATGATCAAGAAACTGTGGCAAAGGCACTCTCTATTACTGTGAACACTTCTGAGTGAATCCCACCAATCTCAGTCTCTCACTCTGTCACTGTTTTGTGCCTGTGTGTGTGTACATCATTTTTTTCTTTCTTTTTTTTTTTTTGGCGACAAAGTTTTTCTCCTGCTGCCCAGAGTGGAACACAGTGGCATGGTCTTGGCTCACTGCAACCTCCACCTCCCCA